CCACCCTACACACACACACGCACACATGCCAGAGTTCCTCCGGATCGCGCAGGCAGCCTCGCACGGGAGGATGCTTGTTGAAAGTTGAACTGTGTTGGCATGTCTATACGCCTACTGCCCTTCCAGTACGTTGTCTGCCATATCCTGTCTCAGAAGCTAGCATGCAACATGTCGCGACATGTGCCATGAGCGGATCAAACAGCCGATGTCCCATCGAGTTGACAGATGTCATTTCGCGGACATTGAATTCTAGGCCATTCAACTCTTAAGCGGATCATGACGCCGTGCCATGCTGAGCTCCTCCAGTTGCACATTTCACCTATCTTTAGGCAATGCATTCTGTGGTCAGCCCCGTGCACGGTGAAGACACAAAGACAGAAGGAATCAGTCACTGCAAAACATTGGTTTCTTCCCTCCTCAGCTTGATAATTAAGATCGAATCAAAGTTGAGAAACGGCCCACCGGTCCTGCTATGGATGCCGCTGCTGGCGCGGCCTGCTGCCCCAGATCCTGCACGGAGCCAAAACAACGGTCACAGCTGGCGCTGTGCCCAGCGCCTGCAGCAGCTTCAGTCCGCGGAGTCGGATGCCAAGGGCCGCTGGACCTCTGCTCACTCCGCCTTTCTGATTCCAAGTGCCCCATCCGGCCCCGCACCTGGCTCTTCCGGCAACAGTGCGGCCACCGGGGCACCCCGCTGCAGCAGCCAAGCCACCGCCGAGCCTGCTGCACTGAGCCCCGTGACAGGCCTTATTGGGCCCCAGAACTGTCAAAATAACACGTTACCTCCATACCCCGACTGTGCCACTTCCGCGGCGGTCCCTGGAAAGAGGCGCTCCGTGACTTGCAGGGTTACTTTGATCTGAGGCTGAGTGAGCAGCACACGCTCTACTTTAGGGTAGTGTCTGTGTGCTATGCTGGCACATCGTACTTTTGCATGGTAGTGGAGCTGAAAGCTCCATGGAACTTTGGTGAGAAGACATGGCCTTAGGAGGCGAAGGAGACTTTACAGGAAAGTTTCGGCTTCCTCTGCCCTGGCTGAGACTTTCAGCTGCAATCCTGCCGACTGGGAAGAATGGGCCTGGAACTTTAAGGCCTGCATTTCGATGTTCGAGACAAGTGCTGTCACTTTGCTTGACCGAGCTGAATTTAGAGCAGATGAGTTTCTCGATGAACATTTGCAGGTGACTTTGGACACATGTGATGTAGATGCAGAACAAACGGCAAACCGAGTACTCGAAGTTCTCGCTGCCAGGAGCTACGAGGAGCACATCACTTTTGACACAGCTCCTGGGCTTCAAGTTCAACCCCGCAACCTTTGAACAGGAGTTTGACGTTTGGGAAACAATGAAATCTAGGTATGAACGGCAGTCAGGTCAACCTTTACCTGACGGCGTTCTCGCAGCCACTTTGTTGAACAAGACAACCGGAGCTTTACAACAACTGCCGAATTCACAAGGCGTGTCGGAAGCCAGTAGACTTCAATAATCTGTAGGTGTGAGTTGTGATCCTTCTGGCTACTCTGCACACAGGTGCAAGATCGTTGCCTTCGGGGTTTGAAGATGACCCAGACTGAGACATTAAACTTCAAATCAAAGCGGTTTGCAATCGGTATACGGTATACATCTACATTTCCGTGTTTGGCTCACCACTTCAGTGCTCTCCCTCGCTGCTTCCAGCAGGCGCTAGTCATAATCGTTGGAATCGACGGGGTTGGGTCTCTTTTAAGGTTTAGGGTTTAGGGTTTTAAAGTACCTACACTCGTACGCACAGGCAGCTTTGAAAGTCGCTGGCTACATGAAACGGGACCACAACTGGAATGGAAAACCTGAGATGCCATCCACGAACAATGAATGTTCGGACGCTTGCTCAACATGTATCCCACTCTCAAACTCTCAGTATGAAACATATATTAAAACAGAAAACTCAAGACGTTCCAGGTCCAATCTAGGGAATCTAGGGTTTAGGCAGCATGGTTGATCAATGTTCGGTCTCAGTAGCTTACAAAACTGCCCAAAGCATATCTGTCAGCGTGAAACATGTCTTAAAACATGATGGAGGAGACCGACGTCAAAAGTCAAAACGTCTCAGTGCGAATCTAGTGCTGGGTCTTCTGTGTAGCGTCTGAAAAGAGGTTTGCTTTGTGTTGACTGAAGAAAAAGTGGTGAGTCTGATACATGTTCCTTGTTTGGGGATGTGTGGAAATCAGGAACACATCCATGCATCAGACAACTGTGATTGCAGGCACTGCAACGTGACTGATGGGTTGCCGTTCCGACCAATCCGATCGTTGCCAGGGAAGAAAAGTGCTAGAGCTGATGCCGCCGCCTGGGCTTCTCGGAAGCACAGAGACCACTTGGAGCACCCGTGCCCCTTGTCACTCGAGACAACATGTGACACAACAGATTGGAAGTAGATTGTAAGCACCTATGATTAAGGAGACAGCCTTGCAGATTTAGCCTTTCTGGCGAGGGAGGGACCGCCCCTGTCGCCACTTCTTTGCAGGGCCTCGTCCCTCCTCGTTGGCCGCCACCTGCTGCAAGGCCTCCTCCAGGTTGGCGGCCCCTGCCGCTACAGCTGCCGCTGCCGGCCCGGACGACTTCCGTCGCGTGGCTGCAGCACGCCTCACCGCAAAATGCAATGCGTCGAGCTGAGAGTCAGAGCAGTCCTAACCGTCAGCCATCCAGACTCGACAGTGGTGCTTGCTGTCGTGCTTTATGAACATGGCAAGTCGACAGTCAACAGTTGAAACACATTGTGCCATGGGCGACACCTCTGTTTCGCGGTGGAAGACCGGAACCCTTTCGCAGCCAAAGAAACCTCACGTCTAAAGAAATAGAGCAATCTCGCCGGCAACTCTTTGACAGCCAATAAGTCGTGGGCGCAGAGGGTCGAATGCCGCTTCAGAGTGGTTTTGCTTCGGCTTCGGCGATGCGGGACTGACAACCCGGGGGACACCGGGGCTGTGAACCTTCGGTGAACTGAAACACTGCAGATTAGGATAGATTATGATTCGGATGATGCTGATGATATCGATGTCTTCTCCGATGCTTGCATCGTTTGAAGATGCTTTCGGGCTCAAGCGAGTCGCTCGGCGTCGTCCCAGATGCCACTCATTGCTTCGCTGAGGAAGCTCCCGTCTGGCTCGAAGCACTGCAGCTGCGCCCTGTCCACACGCCGCTGTTCGGAGACTGCCAATTCAAAACTGATGGCGAGGCCTACTTCTTGGGCCTGAAAGCAGCGCTCTCGGGCTGCATGGCAAACACTGCCTCTACAGAAAGGGATCAACAAAGCGGGTCCTCGTGCTGCAGGCAGAGCGACATGGGATGCGGCGCCTGCATGCTGCCGACCTCAGGAAAAACAACTTTGACGGGGATGATGTGCCTTAAGCTCTGCTGTCGCTCTGCTTTCCCTCGGTTTTCTGAGCCCTCGGCGCGGAGCGCTACCAGCAGCGCCTGAACAGGAAGGCTGCCACCTCAAAGCGCCCCTCAGCCGCAGCGCCAGCGCCTTCCGCTTCAGGGCTCCGCTGCAGCGGCGCCACCAGGGAGGCGGCAGCTGGCCCGACAAGAGCGCCTTCCCGGAATAAGCCGAGGAGACTCGTCGACCGACTCAACGACTCGAACACGTCGCGATCGTTCGCCGAGAGCGCCTGGAGCAGCGGTGCCTCGAAGTCCTCGTCGCGGTAGGGCGCCGTCTTCGGAGCCCAGGAATCCGAAGGCTCCTCCAGGCGCCCCGTCCCCATCTTTCTGGCGCGGGGAGGCCGGGGCGGCCGGCGCGGCGGCCGGGGTCCTCCAGGCCCGGGCTCGGACACCGCCTTCTCAAGAGCTCCTCTCCGCGCTCGGAGGACTCACACAGACCGGCCGAGAGCTCCCTTTTGACTTTCTCACTCTCCGAGTCTCCTCGCGAGAGTAGGCGTGGCGGTCGGCCTCGGCCTCCTCGGCCTCCTCGGCCAGGCCGTCCTGAGAGCGAGAGCCGCAGTGCCGCAGTCGCACAGCCGACGCTGTGACTCTCTCTCTCTCTCTCACGGCCTCCGGCACCAAGCGAAGAGCACCATCCGGCAGCTGGCCAACCACCCTCAAACGCTCGATGTCCTCAGCACTCGGACGGCGCCCACACGCGCCCACGCAGCGCCTTTGGCCGCGGCTTCGGACAAGCAGCGTCCCCAACACAAAGGCCGCAGTGAGATGCGTCGAGGAAGAGGCGCCCCAGCACGAAACCGCGGGTTGCCTCAGGCCCAGGCCACATCTCCATGCCGCGCTTGCACCGCTATGGCCGCTATGGCTGATCCGGCCCCACCTGCCCCACCTGCCCCGTCAGCAGCACCTCCAAGGACGCGTCCTCTGCAAGGCATTGGCATTGGCTGGCGCAGGAGCTTTGGCACAGCAAGCAGCTAGGAGCAGGTGCTTCGCGGGTCCTCAATAGCGACGACACGGCCCTCCACCATAGCACCCATCAAAGGATCTTGTAGATCCATGGCATGTGCACGGACTCTGCACTTGAGCCCCAAGCCGGGGAAGGAACAAGGACAAGGCGAACGCGTCAGCGGCTTCGCATTCGCAGGGGCCTATGAGCTTCTGGGCATTCTGCAAGACAGTGAGGCCCTCCAGGATGCTCTCGGGCTTCTCCTCCTCGAAAGAAAAGACGAGAAATTTCTTTCTTTCATTTCTTGGGATCTGCTTGGCTCATTCTGATACACAGGCGCCCGCCTCAGCGTTATACCACCAGCTCCAGAACCCTCGACCGGTCTCGTCAAAGCAAGCCCGTCGCCAGGTGCCCGGAACGCATTTGTGTTCGCATGTGAAGACCGCAACGTGATTAGCACGACCGAGCATGCAGTGATTCCGAAGAGGAAGCACGCCGACTCGCCCTTGTCACGAGCTCGACTTAATGCAAGGCCAGCGCATCAACTTGTTGGAGCGACACAACAAGAAAAACCAACAATTTGGCACTGCGCCCTTCATGCCATCAGTTGCACGCACCACCAAAACACGCGCCTCGATCCCGAGCACCACCCGCATCAGCTTTGAGGTCTTCACCTTCGAAAGTTGAATGCAGGACATCCACCTGGCGCCTGGTCAACGCTGCCTGAGCCTTGCAGAAGCGGACCTCGTAGTGGGCCACCTGCAGGGGAGAGAGGCCACCCGCTTCACGCTCCGAAAAGCTTTAAAGCGCTCACAAAACACACGCTTCCGCGCGGACCAGCAGCTTGCCGAGCTTCTCTCGAGCTCGAAGGTCCGTGGCGGAGCTGCGCCTGCTCCTCAAATCTCAAAGGGCACAAGAATGAACACATGACATCTATGTTTCTTGATAGATGAGTGCGTGCTCACGTCGAACCTGAACGAGTTGTCTAGCAAGTTCTCTTGAAATGTGAGTTTGGTTTGTCGGTAGTTCATAGGGGGTTACCATTTATTATATATACTGATGTATTTATTTATATGTATATTCACATTCATATTATACGTATTACAATAATATGATGTTACAATGTCACCACTGTTACTGTGTCTGGTCTGATCCGGCCTCGCCGACGGTCTGCGATGAGCTGCGTGCTCTCGTTCGGGACGACTCGGCAATTCCTGAGTGTGCGTCTTTTTTTGATGTACAGGTCTGCCCACTGAAAAGACAGGTCTAGAATCTGGGCCCTCTAGGCGCTGTGGCCCCGGCCCACTCCACCACTGGAGGCCGCATCACGAAGCATTCGGACGGCTCGCGGGGCTCGCGAGGCCCGGGCCTGCGTGCTGCAACTGCACTACGAAAGCAAACTGCGCCTCTGACAGCGATACGTGTATGATCATGCATGCCAGGCTCTATGGTTCTGCTCTCTGAAGTGCATGGCATTGGCTCCTCATGACGGAGGCGAGGATGCGAGCTTCCGCACGAGCGAAGAGGGAGGGCGCCTCTCAAGTCACCCCCCCCCCTCCACCGCACTGAGCAAAGCTCCAGCTGCGAGCCCTTCCTCCGGCCTCCGGCCCCTGCATCGTTCTCTGTCCCGGAGACCTCGACCTGAGCCCAACCCAACAGAAACAACGCTGAGATTGAGATCCCAGAACGCAGCAGAACGCAGCACCTCGAAGATCCACGGCCACCAGGAAAGCCCTGGCCCTGGCCCTGGCCCTGGCCACGGGCCACGGAGCTGCTCCAAAAAACGCCCCCTCGCCGCGCCGCGCCGGCGCGCGCCGGCCCCGCGCCTCCCGGTCCCCTCCTTCCTCTCGACGGGCAAAAAGCGCGGATGGCCCTGGCGCGCTGCGCAAGTCCTCCGGACAAGGCCGTGACGATCTGCTGCGACCTTTGGACTCAGTCCTCGCTCAAGGACGCGGTGTCTTCGCACTCCACACCCAATGGCCGGCCACGGGGGAAATCCACTAAGCGGCACCTGCAAGCAGCGGCGACCGCCCCGGCACTCCACTTCTGGCTGGCAGCCTGCGCTCCCTCTCCAGGCGCTCCTCGCGCAGGGCCCTCAGAGCGGCCTCAGAGAGCAGACGAGAGCAGAACTAGAGCAGACGAGAGCAGCCCAGAGAGAGGAGTTTTGGCTTTTGGGTGGGCCTCTGCATCGAAGCGGGGGAGCTTCTGCCTCTCCAGGCGCTCCTCGGTTTTCACCTGAGCGGGAGCGAACCGAGCCGTCCGCCATTCGCCTCGAGGCCTCGGCCTCGCTCGCGAGCGCCTTCGTTTCGGTCTCCGGGCTCGGGCTCTCAGCGGTCCTTGCAAAGGCCAGGCCGCCAGGCCGCCAGGCTCAGCGCTCTTTCTCCCTCCGGTCCTCGCTAGCCGAGAGGTCCGAGGCAGGCCGATGGGCACCTCCGTCATCCTGAAACGCAGACAGACTAGCACAGAAAAGAGCACGGGGGAAGATGCACTCCAAGGAGGGCCGCCGCTTCCTATGAGCTCGCGCCCGTGCCTGACAAGCTCCTCGATATGCGGCCACAGGGAGCCTGCGACTCGATGACTTTCTAAGAGACTCCGCGACAAGGACGCCAGAACGCTCCCCGAGATTCCGACGCTCCGGGCGGGGCAGAGCGGGCAGCTCGGCCTGGGAGCCTGCGGCTGTGCGCAGAGCTCGAATTGCCCCTCGATTGGCGGTTTGAATTTCGCAGTCTCCAGACTGCGCATCGGCCTCGACACAAGGCGCCAGGGAGCCTGGGCCTCGCGTAGGCTTTTTTGTTGCCGCGTGTGCCGCCCGCTTTGTTTGGGGAAAGGGCCTGTAGATGGGGACATGGCCGTGGGGTGGCGCCAGCACCGCCACCTCAACACAACAGGCAACAGCTCTTCATTGATGCACAGCCCCTTTCACCTTCTCTCCTTGGAAATCGCACTTGAAGGCCTCCTTGGCGACAAGAGCGGAATGAGAAAGGATACATGGGAAAGTAAGACCATGTAAGGCCAATGCCCTGACATCCAACAGACACGCAGCCGACGCGTCCCATGCAACCTCCCGGCATTGGCCAGAGGTACCTGCACAGTGCTCACGCCCGATGTGCGCTGCACTCTCCCCCTGCTGCTCTGGCCTGGCGCACAAATGGCCATCTCCCGTGACACGGGGCTCTACACTGCTCAAGCATTTTGCTCTTTCCTTTGCTTGGGATCATCGACTCTCATGTGTGCTGCTGCGAAGGATGGAAATTCCTGCGACCGAGACCAGACGGCGGGTGCCGCCACTCGGCTGTCTTACTCTGCTTTTGTCGCATCTTTTCGGACCTTCCGTGCAGACTTCAAGAAGAGGTGGGCTCCGACAGGTAGTCCCATCGTAGTCACGCACATCTGCACCAACATCCACCTGCCACACTGACACACTGACACACACGCACACACACGCACGCACTCACACTCCAACACTCCAGTGACGGCTATCTCGTGACAGGTGCCGTCGGACTCCCAAGGCCAGGCTGTCGAAGGTCAGCCAGCTGGCCCAGACCTGCGGGCGTCATCAGAACGCTGCAGTATGCTGTGGTTTAAGAACTGCTTTGGCATGCGCCAAAAAAGATCCGGGCGCCTCTGCAGCGGCCACGACCAAGAAGAGTATGGCGGAAGCAATGCGCCGAAGAAGCTGAAGAGACGGCCGCTTGCCTCGGTCAATCCATGTTGGCCGTTGGCCTCTTAAACCTACGGTGATCCGAAGTCGCTGTCGAGTCTGTTGGGGCGGTCTTCTTCGACAGTATGCCAGGTAACTCAAGAGGGCGATGTACCGAAGAACATCTGCAAGCGCCCAGCCAGCCAGAAGAACCTGGACTAGGAGAAAAGGTGCGGAGCATGCTGCTGCTCCATGGGTAAACGAATTATTGCGATGCCGTCCTGCCTGGTTTAGTGCCACGTTGTCCAGCTTTGGAATCGCAAAGACGGCGATTGTGGTGCGGAAGACACAAATGCCAAGCCCGAGCACTGTCTGTTCGACTCCCTTCATGCCTTATTCGATATTTCACGGGTGCGCAGTGTTTAAAAAGAATCCAAGGCTTGCGAATGAGAAGAACCCTTCGATCATGCGGCCCACGGAGCTTCGCACAACACAGTGTCTGTGGTATGCGATGATCGAAAGCTCTGCGTAGCAGTACGTCTGAAGTGCCCCAAATAGCCAGAGTGCCCGCCCGGCTCGGAGTCCTCGCGTTGAGGCTGGGATCCGGCCACCCGCAAGGGTCGGGCAGGCGGTCAGTCGCTGCGCCGAATGAGTACACCCGACTCAAGCTGACTTACCAAGCCCTTGTCCACACCTTCTTTGCCCCCCGGACTTGCAGTGACGAACAGCATGCAATGCCTAACCACGAAGACCGTACAGAATCAATGGCATCACACCACGGGGCCCACCCCGACCACCAGGAGACCATCAAGAGCCAGGAGAACACCAGTGCACCCCAGAAGACCACCGTTTGGGCCGAAATTCAGGAAAACGAGTCAAAGGCTTTCCCCAAGCACAGCCAAACTGCTTTCCAGTTTGCAGGGAGGATTGGCAGAACTTCCCTCGGAAGTCAGCGGCTCGGGACGCGGGAACACCAGCCAATTCGGATTAATTACAGTTTTGAACATGAAGACTCCATACAAACATGATCAGGATCACACTGTTTAAGGAGCAACATGCTTCCAAATTTGTGCTCGGCCCCATGCGTCCTTGGCCAGCAAGTTCATCGCGAGCCACAAGACCACTGCATGTGGGCAGCACGGAATGCAGCAACAGCCACATCCAGCCCATCAAAGCAATGACATTCACGACTCGCAACCAGGCCATTGCAAGGATCTAAAGCGGCTTTCTGACACGACCACAAGACTTGTTTGATGTGCGACCTGTTTGTCAATGGCTCCGCACCCTGCTCTTGAACAACTTTGCACCACAAGCGGGGGATGCATGCATGCATGTGTGCATGCATGAGCGACCGACACCGGAGCAGCAAAAACACGTGTCAAAACATATGCGGACGGCTCCAAATCGTAACACTTGACAAGAGTGAAGTGCTGTAGCAACATCTACTTATGAGTTGTCGCTACAAGAGGCTTGACCTTGCAAGCGCACAAAACCAGCAGAAAGGGTGCTGCAGGCTGTGCAGTCAGCGCCCCTATACTTGCTGAACCACAGTGGGGACACTGACTATGTGACAAAGCAATAAATGAGCGAGCAGAGCCCTGCTATCTGGACTTATGCGGTGCCAAAGTTGCATGCACAACATTTCAACTCAGTCACAAGCCTGCGTTACAACTGCTCATAAAATTTTCCCAGTTTCCAAATATTGTATTGTATGTGCAGAGTCGATTTTGGCAACGTCCAATAAAAATTCGACATTCTCTCGACAAATATATTTGTCCATCGGAATGATATCGTAATTACAGTACATTCTCAGCGCATCACATCTTTTTTCCCGGCGACATGCCGAAATGTTCGGGGAATCCCGGTTTCGAGAAACGTTGTTCACAAGTCCACCGTGGATGCATCGACATGATGCATACACCGTGTGCACACGAGTGCACCCACATGACCCCAGGCATCCGTATGCATGGCTTGCGCATCACGTGTTGACGGCATTCCAGATTTGGAAGGGCGGGACAACAAAAGTTTCTGTCGGATCTTAGTCCGAATTGAAGCATCATGTTGCGAATGGCACGTGATTCTCAACAAACCCTGCACATGACCAAAGGAAGGAAAATTTGGAGCTGCATGAAAATATTCGTCACATGGAAATCATGAAAGGAAGCACATGGAGAAAACGTGTGTTTTTCCGTGATACAACTCTGGAACTAAAAACCCTCTCAGTCACTTGCGGGTGGAAGTGCGGCATTGTCATGAACTGCCGGTGGAGTGCGGCATGCTTTGAGAGTTGCAAAAGCGATGCCGGTGGAGAGCATCCGAGAATTCCTCCCTTTCCCACCGGTAGGCACTTGCATCAAGTACACATTCTCTCCCAACAAGAAGTTGGTGAAGCTAAGCCACGCATCCGGGGCCATCCCAGCAATTCTTGAATTTTGAAGCCAACATCGTCCAAGCATTGCCCTCTACTGCAATACATTGCGCAATTCTTCAGTGTGCTGTGGCATCACCCCTTTGTTGCGCTTCACTCCGCACATGACCACCAGTACGACAGTCGTCTGGATGCCCATGGTTCTCACTCGCTTCTCGACGTCACCAGACAACTTGCAGACATTTCTCCATTCTCTACACGCATCGCTTGTTTCTCTGTTTGAGTGACAGGCCTTCTCACTTTCAGCATGCAAGCTTCTGCACGCAACTCTGACTTCTTGCTTGCATGCTTCGTCGCTGTTTCCATGCGGACACCACCGAGACCACAGCTGCTCTTGTAGCTTGGTCTGTCGCCTCAAAGGCGTGGTCATTCTTAAGTGAGCTCGAACATCCAAGTGTGTATCAGCATAAGAACCGCCTCACAGACTGGAAGTTCTAAGTGATCCGGCACTGTAGCCCAATTGGCACACCACATTCTTGGAAGATGTGCACCAAGTCTGAACCGACAGTAGAATCAGAGCGCATTCTTAAACGCAATTAAAGCACTTGAAATGAAAGCAAGTACAAAGCATGTCACAAGCATATGCCCTTTTACAAGCGCTTTTCAACGAAAGTAGATAGACTTGGCAGGTATGGAGACCGAAAATTCTGCTCGGATCCTCCGAGCGCTTGAGTTGCCTCGATGTCGCTCCTGAGGTCGAAAAACGGAGCTTTTAGACATCAGAATCGGCCAATTGATGTTGATTCAAATTTTGGCCCGCGAAATATCAATCACTTTCTTGGATCTGCGCCCAAGACCCGATTGATGTTACGGAGGGAGAAATATCAATCAACATCAATCGGCCTTGCCAGAGCCGCATCGGCAACTTTAGTTCCTCTCTCTGTGGCAGGTGTTGTCAACTCCCATTCTGTGATAGCTACA